AAGGCCAGCGAGGTGGCCCCGCCATGGGTGTAGGGCCAGGGCGCTGCAAGGGGGGACCCTCAGGGGAGCGCGTGGCGTGCTCCTGTTCCCTGCGAGGGGAAGGTGCCTCACACCAGCGGCGGGGGCTGAGGCAGAAAGGAAGGATTTGCTCGGTGCCGAGGGAGGGAACAAGGGCCCTGTGTGCGCGCAAGGATGCGAGGGAACAGGTCACACACGTCCACACACGCCAGGAGATCATTTTGTCCTCATCCTGGGGCAGCAAAAATTTTTTTTTTCCCTGCTTCAGAGACACTCAAGCCATCCCTGCCACTTCCAGAGTAACATAATTCAGCGACGGCAGGATGAGGGCGAGGTCTAGCTATGACAGCAGGACAGTCGAGGGTCGTCTTTCCTTTGTGGTGCTACCCACAGCTAAGGAGTTTACACCAGTTATTGGTCTCTTTTGCAGGAAGGCAAGATCAGTTATTTTTGTAGCAATCCTAGCAAAAGGGAAAAGGACAGGTCCTACTTTGTTGCCCTTCCCTAGTATGCAGTGGTCATAATGAACCACAACGGTTTTCTATTCAGCCTTGTATTTTTGAACTTTGAGTTTCATTTCATTTTGTGTGGAGAGTCCCTGCAGCTCATTTTTCTCTTTACTATTGTGGCAATTTTTCTAAAATTAAAATGTTAATTGAAATCTGAATTAGAATCTGACTGCAATCTAAATTGAATAGAGGAGCTGTGACTTTTCAGTTTTCTGCAATCATAAAATTATACGGCTGAAAGAGCTAAATCTAATTGTGTAGGGATTTTTTTTTAAATCTCTTCCTGCTTCTGCACTTGGTTTTGTATTCCAATAAGCCCCAAATCAGGAAGCATTTCTACTCAAATAGCTAGAATTTCATGTCTGATTATGGATGTATATTTGTAAGAAGAAATAATCTGGGAAATAAATGGGGTTGGAGGAGCATTTCCAAATGATATGTATCTAATTTCTCCCAGCTGATAGCATTTTCAGCATTTCTTGGCTGTATTAGATTCGTATTCAGTACATAGCTTTAAATGCTAGTGGCCTGAGAGAATGCATTACTGTTGCTACAGCAGAGCAACAAAAATGTCAGCAACGGGTTTGATATTCAGTACTATACACTGTACTCGGTGTGGAAGCCTCAGTGACACTGAGCTTGTTCCAGGCACCAATTCAGTGAATTGCTTGGTCTTGTGCCTAATCTTAGGCACACAAGTAGTCCCACTAAAATTATGGAGAATATGCTAGAGAAAACACATAGAAAGGCCTTCAGGAATCGGGGTATGAGGACTCATTTTTAAGCAGCTGCTGGATTTCGTAAGGTGTGAAAGGCAGTCACGTTGCAAAGGCTCCCTTCTGTGTGGCTGGAATTTTATAGCCTGATTCTGGATACAGTCATGTTGGTGACAAAGCTCGTCTTGATTTTATTGATAGAGGATGAGAGTTCAGATCCTGATGCACAGTTCTTGGAAAAAGTTTTTATTGGCTTCAGCAGGTGGACCAAAACTCATCCTCTTTTGCTTTGGTCATTTAGCTGAGGCATCTATTCTGGAGGTTTAGCCACTCTTGATTTTGTCTCTGGGCAATAGAGCTGGTGAGATGGGCACCTCTGGAGGCCAAGGGAGGCTGCAGTTGAGATCACACCCCTCTGGTCACTGCTTGTCCCTCCTGATTGCTGGGATGGCCGGGCAGACTGTGTGCCTTCCCCAGGCACCTCTGTTTATTGGGACAACTCCAGGCTGTGTGTGGATCGTACACACAGTTCAGCAGCTTCACTTATTACTGGGTCAGTAGGGGTTCAGGGACTTTGGGAGATGGAAAGAGATGTTCAGAGTCCTCCTGGAAGAAGCTATGCATGATTTCTATAGCAGGGTACGATGAGGATTACTCAGACAAGCTCTTTAGTAATTTTTGAGCTATCAGCTCAGGAAAAAAATTGCCATTGCCTACAAACAATAGGCTAGTAACAAGAAGAATTGTCATTTGCATGCATATTTGCTGAAGTCTTATCAAGCCACGTTACAAAAAAAGACCTATTAAAAATAAATCTATATAAAAATATTCTTGGGCCACGGTCTGCATCAGATGAGAGCCTCACTTCATGTAGGTTATAAAGCCACTGAGCTACCTGCCAGTGGAAGTGGAAAGTCCTGTTAGAGTCATTTCTTTCCTCAGCAGCCTTGCTGGTGGTCACAGGCTTTGGCCAACCCCATTTGCTGTTCCATACGGCTCTAAATTGGCTGCTTTAAGCAAAGGTCATATTGTGGTATCAATTACTTGCTACTACCTGGAAAATTTAATTTCATGCCCTGCAGTAGGTCTGCTTTTTTCTCTACTATGATTGGCAACTGTTTCCCTGTTGGTAACTAGAATAGCTCGTGTACTTGAAGTGATTAAAACCCAGAAGCTCGCTGATTTGGAAGGGCAGCTTCAGGTTGCTAGCATAACCGTGAGCGCTCTTGCACAAATGCATTCAGATGAACAGAACAAAAGCTATTTCTTGCCCTTTACAAGACCTCTTAAGAAATCATATCGTTTATGATTTGTGTCATGTCAGTTCACTCCTTGTTGTGCAGTTGGTGTTTAGCTAACATACTGTATTTGTTTCCTGCAGGTTAATAGTACAAAACGAAAACAGGGAAATTAGCAGGCTAAAAATGTGTCCAACCAGTTGTCAAATATTTCTCTCCCTTGGAAGCCTCTTAGGAGCTTCTTAAATAGTTGGTTTGTGTTTTAAAAGATCTATTTTAGTGATCCAAGATCCAGAAAGCTGGGCCTTCATTTATTCTCAGAATGTGTTTCCTTCCCAAAGGATATATTATGTCACTGATTTTAAAGTGGAACTACTAATCAAAGTAATGGGGGATTTCTGCTTGAAAATTGTTATGCAATACAGGCGGTGACAGAGATTAAAAAAAGGAGCACAGGAGCGAACCTAATCCTTCTCCATATGACCAGAAGATTTTGGTTTATGTTTCTCCTGAAGTGTTTTCATGGCATACAAGGAATTGTTCCAATCCTATGAGGAGCAAGGACGTGAGAGATCTGTGACGATATATAATAAGGAACTATTGTTTGGGTGAAGAGAGACTTATTTAAAAATAATTAGCAGTTACTATGACAGTGGAATTTCACTAACCCAAGTTCTCTGGGACTCTCTGAGTTCAGAGTAGAGAAAGTTCAAACAATGGCAGTGTGGTGGCTGCAATGGAAGTCTGCAGCCTGCAGGTGCACTATGGGGGGGTGCCTTCCACAAAGAACAAGCATTTTGGCATAACACAAAACAAATTTGACAATATTTGAAAAGTATTTCTGCCAGGCACAAATACTCTGGTGGTGGTAGCAGGACGAGAAACATTTAATATGGCAGCAAGTTAGCACCTGCCTCGTATTGGTTACTAGGAGCAAATGTTTCTTTACCAGCAGCCAGAAGGTTTAACTTCTGCTCACCTTTGAATTTAGATCAAAGTGTCTAATCTAATTTTCCATGCATGTTTGAGTCCTGCCTGCATTCATTGCTGCCAATGTGATACATCTTGCACTACAGGTAGAGTTTACTCAGTAGTGGATATACGCCTGTCACAGAAAGTTTACAATGCAGCGATCTATCTAAAGCTCTTGGAAGTCACTAAAATGCTTAGTAAGCCCTGGATCAGAACCTGGGAGCCCTGACTAAAACTTCTTTTTGAAACTCTTTCAATAAAAAGCACCACAGAGAAAGGAATGAATAAGGAGTGCAACTCTACACACTATCTCTTTTCTCTTCTGAAAAATGTACCGCTCCAAAGAGCAGCCAAGTTGCTACGACCAGATGATGAAGCTCTCCAGGGGGAAGATAAGCGTTTTTTGGAGGTGAGTCATGATCACCTTTCAGTTCATAAGACTGTACTGGCATCTGTTGTAAGTCTCCAGAGGACCTCGCGATAGCTAGGCCGGCACCATCCTTTGAGAAGTCTGTATACTTATTTTGCAGCCTACCTCTATGAGACTTTGGGCTTTGTAAGCCTGGCTCAGCATCGTCACCCCAGTAGCAGCCATGTAGCAGCAGCTCCAGGGCACTTGATGAAACAAGTAGATAAAGCTTCGTATTTCCTCCCCTACCCAGAGGTCACATTAAACAGGTAGACTCAGTGGCCATGTCCCTGTAAGTCTGTAATCTGCCTTTGGCCCTGCTTCCAGACAGAGGGCATAAAAGTGTGCATATTACCCCATCAGCCTTCCTGGCTGTTCACAGGAAAAAAGAGCCTGCTTTGGATTTAGCATCTCTCCAAGACAGGAGATTCTAGGCCTGATGATCAAGCTCTTTCACAATACTCGAGATAAAAAAACAACTGTAAAGTGGTAAACTAAATGCAAAGACATATGCTTGTCCTTTTAAGAGCAATGAGATATTTCACACGTTTGAAAGCACATATGCATTTATGCACTTTGTTGGACATCAGCCTAAATTCACCTTTTGCCTATCCCTCCTTTTTTTTTTTTTTAATACTTAACACGATTGGAAATGTGTCTGGCATTCATGTATTACAAATAGTTTTACCTAGGATAATACCTAAAATATTGGCCACTAAAGCACTGAGTTGCCAGAGCCAGGCTCTGCTAGTAGGAATGTAATTAGCTGCTAGTGGTTTGGCACTGCAATATCATAGACGGCCTGGAACAAATTTGCAGGTCTCAGAGAAATGCCATAGTTCTGGCCCCAAGAAGGCAAGGCAATTCTCCCTCCTCTCTCCTTTTAGTGAGAGACGGTAGGCCACCCTTCTGGCACTTCCAAGAGTTATTCT